CCCCCCCCCCCCCCCCGCCGCCGCACCGGTTTGCAAAGGAAAGCAAGAAGCGAGAAGCAACTGCACACTGGGCACCTCCCTCCGGCTTTGCACACACTTTTTGCACGGCGTTTTTCCACGCTCCCCGCCCCCAGGCCGATTTGCAAAGGGAAGCAGGGAGCGAGAAGCGCCTCTGCCTGTCCCGTTTGCACGCTTGGCGTCTCCCTCCGGCTTGCGAGGGGAAGCGGGAGGCCGTGGCACACGCTGTTTGCACGCCCCTTTTGTTCTTTCCACGCTTGCCTCCTCCTCCCTCCCCCTCCAGCCCGGTTTGCCAAGGGAAGCAGGAAGAGAGCGGCGAGTGTGCACACGCTTTTGCACCCTTCCTGCCTCCCAAGCCCTGGTTCGCAGGGGCCGTTTTTGCACGGCCGGCGTCTCCCTCCCCCCTTTTTAGAGGGCTTTGCCAGGGGAAGCGAGGGGCGGCAAGCGGGCGCCCGCCTTCTTCCTCCTCCTCCTCCCAGCCCCGCGGGGCCGCGCGCAGCATCCGGCCGGTCGCCTGGCAGCCGAGCCGGCGTCTCCTGGGCGGGGTGGTGGGAGGGAGGGACGCCCGCGGGCGCAGCCTTGCAGAGCTTTGGGGGGAGGGCTTCCTTTTCCCAGCCCGCCCTCCCTCCTTGCCCGGGACCCTCGCCGCCTGCCTGCCTGCCTGCCTCCCTCTGGCAAGCCGGGCTGCGGGGCCGCATGGCCAAGCCGGGGGGTCCCGAGGGGGAGCCCCCCAACGCGGCTCTGGACCAGGACAAGTACGACGCGGAGGAGAACGTGAAGATCATCTGCCTGGGCGACAGCGCCGTGGGCAAGTCCAAGTGAGTGGGGGGCCCGGGACCCCCCCTTTCCCCCCAGAGATGGGGGGTCTCCCCGCTCAACGCCCCCACCGCCCCAGCCCCGCCTCGAGGGGAGCGTTGAGAGTTGCGCAACCGTTGCGGAGGGATCCGCTGCTGTGCGCGCCCCCCCCCCCGGGGCCCGGGCCCCGGGGGGGGGTCGGGACCACCCCCCCCCCAACTCTGCAGCCCCACATCGCCCCCCTCCCCAGAAACCCCCAGTGCCCGATGGGGGCATCGGAGCAGAGGGGGCTCAACTGACTCTCCCCCCCAGAGGTAATGGGAGTGGGGGACGCGGTGCGGAAGTCCCGGGAGGGGAGGGGGCTCTTGCCCCCCCCCCACTTCCAGGGTGGCCAGCGGCTGCGCCAGATGGCCCAGGTGCTGTGATGCGCCTGTTTAGATGATCTCTAGGGTCATCCTGGGAATGGACGTCCTTCCCTCTCTCTCAGCTGAGACCCTTCAAGGGTTGTTGATGCAGGTCGGGTGGAGTCGCACCAGACAGTTCGCACAACCTCCACAACCCCGTCTGTGGGGAAACGAGGGAGGCGCCTTCACACCATCAGCTGAGATTGCTTTCAACCTTCCTCCTGGGGCCTCTCTGGGCGGGGCGATTTTCTTGCAGACGTTTTGTCACCCAACTAGGTTACATTATCAGTGCTAGAAGGAAAGGGAGGGTGGAGGAGGAGGACTGTGGGGTCCTTGGTGCTCTCTGAGCCTGGGTGTTTTCTTGCAGACATTTCATGACCCAACTAGGGAACATCATCAATGCTAGAAGGGAGGGGAGTTTATGGAGGAGGAGGAGGAGGAGGAGGAGGAGAGAAAGAAGGAGAGGAGAATGGGAAGGAGGAAGAGGAGGGATGGAGGGAGGGAAGGAAGGAAGGAAGGACCATGGTAATGGTGCAGTGGTTAGAATGCAGTATAGCAGGTTAACTCACTGCTCACTGCCAGAAGTTCGATCCTGACCAGCTCCAGATTGACTCAGCCTTCCGCCCTTCCCAGGTGGGTAAAACGAGGACCCAGAGTGTCAGGGGTCAGAGGTTGACTCTGTAAAGCGCTTAGAGGGGGCTGGGAAGCCGTATATAAGGCTAAGGGCTGTTGCTGCTGCTATTTGGACAGTGGTTGATCCAAAATCTGTCGGGCGCAGGAAACGAGAGAGTTTGAAAACAAGGAGCATTGATTCAATGGTACCGACGGGTAGTCCTCGACTTACGATCAGAATGGAGCCTATAATTTTTGTTGCTAAGAAGTGAGAAATGTTGTTAAATGAGTTTTGCCCCATTTTTACGACTTTTCTTGCCACACTGGTTAAGTGAGTTGATAAGTGAGTCACTCGGTTGTTAAGTGACTCTGGCTTCCTCCAGGGCTTTCGCTGGTCAGAAGGTCCCAAAAGGGGGGATCACGTGACCCCCCAACCCTACCCTCCACCCCGGGACACTGCGACCGTCATAAATACGAGTCAGTGGCCAAGCGTCCAGATTTTGATCGTGCGACCATGGGGATGCGGAAAAAGGGTGGAAAAAAATGGTCACCCATCACTTTTTTCAGTGCCGTTGTAACTTCGAACGGTTACTAAACAGAACTGTCATAAGTCGAGGACTACCTGTATTCACTAAGAATCTGATCTAATAGCGGTCAAGGCCAGCTGGGGCCAGATGAGAGTCAGTGGATTTCATGGGGCCGGGCAGGGTGGGTGGGGGCAGGTCTTGGGTCTCTTTGGGGGGCACAAGGACTCCAGGCCGATGGTGCATTTGACACCCCCCACCCCCCTCCAAGGGACTCTGCCTGGCCGTCCCCTGCAGGAGCTGGACTCAGTTTCCTCAGTGTGGCACTTTCTCTCTTTTCCAGGCTGATGGAACGCTTCCTCATGGAGGGATTGTATCCTTTGGAACGGGGAGGATGGGGGGAAATTGGCTAACACCCCCCCCCAGGAAAAGCGTGGGGGTGGCCTCTCCTCGGCTATCGGGGGACCAAAACCAACCGGAGTTTCTTCCAGAAGAAACCAGGCCTCCCCAAATCGCAGAACCCGGCAGATTCGGATGGTGCAAAGGAGGAGATAATGGGAAATTAGTCAGGGGTAGTTTTCCCAGGTGGCAACAGGGCCTTTCCGCCAGGGTGGCCTCTATCTATCTACTCCATCCATCCATCTATCTACTCTATCTCTCCATCTACTCTATCTCTTATTATCTACAGTATCTATCTCTCTCTAGCTACAATATCTGTCTGTCTATCTCTATTATCTCTATCTCTATCATCTATCTCTATCTATCTTTATCTTTCTATCTACTCTATATCTATCTATCTATCTATCTATCTATGTATCTATCTATCTATCTACAGTATCTATATCTATCTCTATCTACAGTATTTGTCTATATCTATCTCTATCATCTATCTCTTATCTATCTGTATCTAATTCTATATATCTCTATCGATCTCTATATCTCTATCTCTCTCTATATCTATCTATATCTTTATACTGTATCTACTCTATCTATCTCTATTATCTACAGTATCTATATCTAGCTACAATATCTGTCTGTCTGTCTCTATTATCTATCTCTATCATCTATCTATCTATCTATCTATCTATCTATCTATCTATCTATCTATCTATCTACAGTATCTATCTCTATCTATCTGCAGTATCTGTCTATCTATATCTCTATCATCTATCTCTTTTATCTATTTCTATCTAATTCTATATATCTCTATCGATCTCTATATCTCTATCTCTCTCTATCTCTATATCTATCTATATATACTGTATCTACTCTATCTATCTATATCTATCTATATATCATCTCTATATCTCTATCAATCTCTATATATCTATATCTATATCTATCTATCTCTATCTATCTATTTACAGTATCTGTCTGCCTAATCTATCTGTCTGTATCTATAGGTATCCATTCCTATAGTCTCTCATCTATCTGTCCATCATCCATCTATTATGTACTATCTATCTTTTTTTGTCTATCCATCATATATTCTATCTGTCTATCATCAATCTATCCCTCCATCCCTATGATCTCTCATCTACACTATTTATATATCCATGTATCATGTTCTATCTCTCTATATCTCTCTGTCATTGATCCATCCACCCCTATAATCTCTCATGTATCTATATATCCATAGATCATGTTCATTCTATCAGTCTACCTACCCATCTACCCAGAAACTAATTTATTGAAATAATTAAAGCTATAATTAAAATACAGGAAGCCCTTGACTTACGGCCACAATTGAGCCCAAAACGTCCGCTGCTAAGCAGGACAGTTGATAAACAGGCTTTGCCCCGTTTTACGACCTTCCTTGCCCCAGTGGTTAAGTGATTCCCTGCGGTTGTTCAGGGAGCCACGCGGTTGTGAAATGAGTCTGGCTTCTCCATTGACTTTGCCCTGCCAGAAGATTGACCAGGAATGATAGAAGGTCTCCATAGCCTTGAGCAGGGGGTTGGACTAGAAGACCTCTGGGGTCCCTTCTAGCCGTATGATTCTACGTCCTGTTCTAACACTGTCCTAAACTCATGCAAGGGTTGGGTGGACTGGTGTGCGTGGAAGCAGTCAAGATGCTGCATTGACGGGCCTGCCTCTTCTGAGGAACCTCTCCTCTGCTTCTTCCTCCCTGAAGACCACCATGGTTTCCCACCTCCTTTCCTTGACCCTGGCCCACAGCAAACCCCAGCAGCTCTCGACCTTCGCCCTGACCCTCTACAAGTACACAGCCACCGTGGACGGCAAGACAGTCCTTGTAGGTAAGGGCTTGCTGGAGGCAGTGGTGGAGGCCACAGTGTAGATGTTCCGTCCTAGGCTTCCCCAAAGAGCACGAAGCCAACTCTTGAGTCCCGGCAAAACCTCTTTTATTAAATGAATGTGAATTTATTGCATTCACATTCAGCCAACGGCCTGGCGAACAGTCTTGCAAAGGTATAAATATTAGCTCAGACCTTATCTATCCTGGAAAGCTGCCCGGTAAATAGTTCCACACACAGTGCTGACAAGGAAGGGCTGGGCAAAGAGTCTCTAGGTTACACAGACAAACTTCATGAGGCTGGAACGAACGAACGAGCAAGTTGTTTCCTGCAAAAGCCCCCTCCCCTTTTGCTCCTCTTTTAATCCTGGTGGGAGGGGCCATTCATCATCCACCTGGGACCCTCACTCACACGTCGACCCTGCTTTCTCAACTGTTCTTGTCTTCTGGTAGTCCTGTGCATGCACAGGCTGGGAACCGGTTCCAGAAGCTCCCCCGCCTCACTGCTGTCTGAGCCCGAAGGCAGCTGATGACTGCCAGCCTGCCCTGGCCCCATGGCCCTGCCTCTGATGCAGAGCCCTCCTCCAGGCCTTTCTCAGCCTCCAAGACTGGCCCAGGTTCCTCCCCAACCTCCTCATTACTGTCCAACTCTGCTGCCAGCTCCGTCAGCCGCCGGCAGGCCCTCTCCCTGATCTCATTGCATGGGACCCCGTTCTGATAAACACATCTGTCCATGGCTTGAAGCTTGTTAAGCCTGGATTCCCCAACGGGTGTTAAGGAAAACAAACTAAACAGAACGTGCAGCGAAGTCAGATAGGAAGACAGGTAAATGTGTGAGATAAGTTTTCTAGTTAACACGCAGTAAAAATACAGATACGCTTGTGCTATCAAAAATATAGTTTATTCCATTTAAGAATTATAGCATAGTCAAATAAACGGTCCATTAGTCATATATCAATTTCAGTCAAGTCTTGTCGGGGATACTCTATTTGCAAAGTCCGTGTTGAATAGCCAATGTCAGTACACTTACAATAAATCAGTCCAATCTTTATCTTCTCTCCGTTGAGAAAAATCAACACTCCTTGTTCTCTCCCCGTTCCAGCAAGAACGCAGTCATCAATCCATCCAGTAATTAGGGATCAGTAAGCCAGAGAGAGCGAGCTGCAATTGCCTCGCTTCTTATATAGTGCTTTTACAACCACACCCTTAATTACATTCTTGCTGTTAAAATTACACACACTTTAACTAACAAACCATGATACCTTATTTATTATTTTTACCCAAAACAGTTAGGGTAAACAATGTTATCCCTAACAAAGCTGCCCATTGAAGGGCTGAGAAGCTTGCTGGGTGGAAGGTCCCCTTGGACATTGGGTTTCAGCAGAAGATCCACGATCGATCTCTCTCTGTCTCTCTGGCCCCTCCAAGGGCTCTCGGAGTCCACACACCTCCAGGAGACCCCGAGTTGGAGGAGGCTGACTTAATGGATCTTCTGACTTTAGAGAAACGGCCCGTTTGAACATGGCTGGACTTCAACTCCTTGCTGGCTGGGGAATTCCGAGAGTTGAAGTCCACCCCTCTTCAACTGCCAAAGTTGAGAGATAGAGACATTATTATGTTGGTTTAAGTCAGGCGTGTCCAACCTTGGCAACTTTAAGACTTGTGGACTTCAACTCCTAGAATTCCTCAGCCAGCATAGCTGGCTGAGGAATTCTGGGAGTTGAAGTCCACACGTCTTCAAGTAGCCACATTAGGATGGACACCCCTGGTTTAAGTGGATCCTTTGTGAGCCGTGGAATTCCTGCTTTCCAGACTTCTGGGACACTGCCGGCCAGGAGCGTTTCCAGAGCATGCACGCGTCCTACTACCACAAGGCCCATGCTTGCATCATGGTAAGGAAACGGACGCCTGGGGTTTGCGGTGGGAATGCTTGAGTGAGGGATCTCTTCGGGCTGATAGAGATCCTTCGTCTGACTCCAGGGCTCAGTTGTCCTGATGTGGGTGGGACAAAGTCTTCCCCATTTTTCTTGGCCCTCCGCAAGGGAGGGGCCACAAATCCAGAAGAGTATCTTCTCCAGCTCATTCCGTCTTCCCACCAATGCCACTGCAGCCATGGAGTCACCACACTCAGCCCTGATCAGGGATGGGATTCCAAAAATGTTACTACCGGTTCTGGTGGGCGTGGCTTGGTGGGCATGGCAGGGGGAGGATATACTGCAAAATCCCCCTTCCCTCCCCACCCCACTGACCTGCTTTCCAGCTCCGTTCTCCTGTGCAGGGCAACCAAAGGAGACCCAGGTGATCAGCTGTGGGTGTGGCATTTTATGGGTGTGGCTTGGTAGGCGTGGCTTGGTGGGCATGGCAGGGGAAGGATATACTGCAAAATCCCCCTTCCCTCCCCACCCCACTGACCTGCTTTCCAGCTCCGTTCTCCTGGGCAGGGCAACCAAAGGAGACCCAGCCAATCAGCTGGGACTCAATGGGAGGCGGAGAAGAGATGGGGTTGGCGGGGCCAGTCGGAGGTGGGATTGGCCGGTTCTCCAAACCTCTAAAAATTTCTGCTACCAGTTCAGGAAAACCGTTCAGAACCGGCTGAATACCCACCTCTGGTCCTGATCAGTGGTGGGATTCAAAATATTTTACTAACGGTTCTGTGGGTGTGGCATGGCTTGGTGGGCGTGAGCAAGCCTACCAACGTCTAGTAGATGTTTCTCCTGGGGCCGTTTGCACCCTTGCAGCTTCCTCGCACCGGGATCTGAGATTTTGGTTGTCGTTTGATTGAGCGCATGGTAAGCCGTCCTCCTCTTCTCTCCCCCTCCCTTCCAGGTGTTTGACGTCCAGCGGAAGGTCACCTACAAGAACCTGACCAACTGGTATAAGGAGCTGCGTGAATTCCGGCCTCAGATCCCTTGTATCGTAGTGGCCAATAAGATCGATGGTGGGTCTCCTCCCCTTTTTCCCCACTGGGGGGAGGAGATTCAGCCCCTTCTTGGACACGAGGGAAAACCTTCTGCCCTTCAGGCTTTAAGACCACACCACCTCCGTTGCCCCAAGGCTGCTTAGCCAGTGGCGGAGAACATCACCGCGGAGCTTCCTCTTAAAGCTGCACCAACTGGTCTGGAACGAAAAAGAGGTTTTTCCATTGGAAAATGCAATATAACAGAGAGTGGGAAGGGGCCTCGAAGGTCTTCTAGTCCAACCCCCTGCTCAAGCAGGAAACTCTATGCTGTATCACACAAATGGGGGTCCAGTCTCTTCTTAAAGAGGTCAGTGTGAAATCCTGGGTGTGATGCCCCCGGGGCGGGTCAACCTGAAGGATTTTAGTTTCCCCTACTCAAAGCTGCATCTCCCATCCAGCCATGGGTCTCTGTTGTTAAGCCTGGATTCCCCAACGGGTGTTAAGGAAAACAAACTAAACAGAATGTGCAGCGAAGTCAGATAGGAAGATAGGTAAATGTGTGAGATAAGTTTTCTAGTTAACACGCAGTAAAGATACAGATACGCTTGTGCTATCAAAAATATTGTTTATTCCATTTAAGAATTATAGCAAAGTCAAATAAACGGTCCATTAGTCATATATCAATTTAAGTCAAGTCTTGTCGGGGATACTCTATTTGCAAAGTCCGTGTTGAAT